GTTCTGGAAGTGATTGGAAACGTGCACGGCCAGAATGACGCTCCATCGGCATGGAACCGTGCTTTCGATACTGCCGCCTGTGAGTTTGGCTGGGAACGATCCCTGTTCGATGCCTGCCTCTATTTCCTAAGGGATGAAACAGGAAAACTGTGTGGGGCCATGGGAGTACATGTTGACGATACAGCACTTGGGGGGAAAGGACAAAGATTTGAGCAAGCAGTTCATCAACTCAAACAATGAGTTCCGTATCGAAAGTGGCGTGTGCGAAATGGTGAGTTCTGTGGAGCCTTCTATGTTCAGAACCCTAAGACAAAAGGGATCTCCATGTCACAACAAACGTTTGCCGAAAACATTCGCCCTGCTCACATTGCCACAGGAGCTGACAACGAACAGTTGCTTCAAGATTCACAAATTCGGGTTCTAAGGGCCATCAACGGAAGCTTGAATTGGATTTCATCACAGTCCAGACCTGATGTCGCAGTACAAACAAGCTTGAGTCAACAAGTTTTTCCCAATCCAAAGATCAAACATCTGCGTGATGTAAATAATGCTGTAAGACGCACAAAGCAGCATAAGGATGTGAAAATCCAATTTAGGCCAATTGACCCTCATAGGTTGCGATTATGTTGTCACTCAGATGCCGCCTTTGCAAACGCTGGTTCACATACTCAGGCTGGTTACATTGTAGCCTTTGTTGATCAAGGTCTAGATTCCGGAGAAATCAGTCCATGGACCCCCTTGACTTGGAAAAGCTACAAGCTGCCTCGAGCAGTGTCATCCACCTTAGCTGGTGAGAGCCAAGCCTTGGCCACGGCATCAGGCACCGTGGAATGGGCAAATCTGATTTTGAGCGACGCTCTTGATGGCAAGTTTGAACCTCGCTTGAGCCGATCCAGATTGACCAAAAGGCGCTACTCACCACTGACTGCAAGTCATTGTATGATCATCTCACTTCGCCTTCGTCCCCCACGGCAGTAGATGATAGAAGAACCAGCATTGACAGTCATCATTCGGGAATCGATCAAAGCCATGAACCCTTCCATTCGTTGGTTACCTACCAATCGTATGCTAGCGGATGCCCTCACCAAAGATAAAATGGACCCGGTAGATCTCCTTCGTTCCTGCCTGCGTAGTGCTACCTATCAGATATCTCCAGAAGAGCATGTATTGGCTCAGCAGGCTGCTGAACGAGAGCTTCGGATGCAGCGACGTAACCTAAACACTCAGGAGAAAAAGCATTCGAACCAAGCCGAAGTGTCCTTATCTAATTAAGGTTAAGACGCGTGCCGGAGCAATAGCTTCAGAATGCACGACCGTCAAGCAGTTAGGGGCCATTCCTTGCTATTCGAAGTGAGTTTCCTTCAGTGCACGTTTTTGTGTGAATGACTTTCCACTCCTGCAGCCTTTTTGACGTTGGTGCTCAAGAACATTGAGCCTGATCCCTCAGTATGTCGTGGACCCCAGAAGATGCCAAGCAATTGCGATCCTTGTTTCAAAAGGCTCTCCAACACGGGTTGGAACCTGTGGAAGCCTTGGGAGGCTTTCCACATGAGGATGATTTTGAGCTGGTGGGTGCAATGTCCGATGCTTCAAAACGACAGCTAGACTCACAATATCCCATTAGCAGCAAGATGAATCGCAAGAAGTCAACTTCCTCCGAACCTGATGGATCCACCGAGGGCTGCTATGTGACCAAGGCCATGGCTGGCCCCTATCCCTCTCAGTTTGAGCCAGAAGCTGAATCTCATGTCCTTCCTCCTCTTCCTCCCGGAGTGGTGAGCACTGCACAATGGTCCAAGACCAAGATCAATTTCGGCAAGTTCAAGTCTCGTGACTGGTCATATTTGGACCTCTTGCAGTCGACAGAAGAAGAGGCAAAAGGATATGTGAAATGGTGCATGGCTCGCACTCAGTCGGCAGGAGGTGATTTGAAGGACTTGTGCTCCTTCATGTATCGCTATGAGATGGAGAACTCTCATGGTCGCCTCCGTGCTGGCGAGTTGATCCCCGGCACCGGGAATCGTCGTGTCTTCAAGTGAAAAGCTCACGATGACATCGAGCTGGATGATGATGGAAAGATGCTGCATCAAGACACTTCAGAGCGAACTATAGAAGAGATTTATAAGGAGTGTTGATCGGCATGCATGAATGCCATCCTGCTCACGTGCTACTTCGCAGGGACCGCTGGCCCAAGGGAAAAGGGGCGTCTCGCGTGCCCACTCGTGTCGATAGGATTCGACCCTCTTGTTTTGACACATATATAATATATATATATACATTTATAGTTATAGACACAGAGATGATATAAATCACAGTCGGCATTTGCAGAGCTTCTCGAGCCGCGCAAAACGTGAGCGTTTCGGGTTGGATCCAGTGAGCTGCGGCCTGATTGACTGGGTGGGCAAATTGTTCACACTCCGACTCCCAAGCAGCAAAGTGGAAAATGGACCCACTTTGAACCGTAAGACGACAAGAACAGACTTTCCTAGGCAGTTCTCCACTTCCATGTGTCGTGTCTCTCGAAGTCTACTAGTTGGTTGAGGCCGGGAATCAGTGTTTCACGGGGTGTTGAAATTCCAAACCAAAGGTGCTCGTGGCAGGGTGCACATGCTCGAATGGCCCGCGTGGCTGTGGCTGTGCTTGCGGCCCAGCCACTTTTCGTCGTCTCCCTCACAAAGGCCCAGCAAGATCACCAGGCCTGACGGTCGCTGCGTTTCTTCCACCAAGAGCCTTTCGGGTGCAGATGTTGCTGGATGATGCTGACATCCCAGTGATCATGGCATCTGAATTGAATTGCTCCGAGCCCCAGGAGTGTTTGGGCCCTTTGGATGGTTCATGGACATTGATCAAAGGCTTCTGGACTTGGGACGTCAACCGGGTCGGCCAAGACGATCTCATCTGCTTGGGCCCAGACGATCCACTGGGCTTTTTGGACCATGGTGGAGAGGGAAGCTGTTGGAAAGCTCCAGCTTCACCCCGACAGGCCCTGATGGGTAACCCAAACATGAACCCCTTGAGACGATGATGTTCCTCTACAACCCAGGTAGTGAGCTTCCACACGTGCACAGAGCAAGGGTGCACAGGGCAAAGCATGAGAAGAGTGGGGGCGAGGTCGGAAGCCTGGTGGCTAGACGTGAAGATTACTGGGGTGGGGATGAAACATGAAGCAACATGAAGCAGTTTTTGTGTGCTATTTCATAGTAACAAGAAGCTACGAACGTAACAAGACGGGCATCGCTACGAACGTAGCTCCTGGCAATACGACTAGTAACAAGAAGCTCCGAAATCCCTCTGGAAGGTCTCGGGGGTCGACTGATCAGTCGCGCCAATGGACGATCCCCACAGCCAGAAAGGAAAGCAACCGACCATTAGAAAATGGGCAGAGAAAATTGGCAGAGAAAGTCACTCATCGCTGCAATATGAATTGGGGAAAAGCCATCCATCCACCTGAACCATCTCTTTACCTCATTCTGGACCCTGTGGCCCTCCAGTTGATCTGGTCTGGCACAACCAAAGGTGTCCAGAGGTGTTGGGTTTCCGAATGCCACAGCGGTCCTGCGGTCTGTGGACGGGGCTCCACAGGCGATGCGGACATGATCTGTTTCAACAGCAATCGTGGTGTGCATTCGAAACGGCAGACCTCTCAGGCGTTCCGAACTCCCTGGGAAATAGACTCGACCAGTCTACCCAGCCAGGCTCCGGCCAGGTCCACATGACCACCAGGCTCCGGCCTTGGCGAATCCGCGAGATCTCCTTGCCCTCCACGTGCACCGAAGCGCTAGTCACACGCTGAATCACCAGCTTCATCAGGCGTCACGTTGGAGCTGAAGCCTAGAAATGGTTATGTTAATTTGACCCTGCTTGTCAAGGATTGTCATTTGCCCTCCCAAGATGACTATTGAAATTTGTTATGGGAATATATAACCTACAGGCCCTACAGGTCAGTTGGACCTCATTTTACTGGAAATTGTCATACAAAAGATTGCTCAATATGGTAAAAGGCCAGCTGTTGCTGGGTCTTTGGAACTGTAGGGATAGGAAGTTTCACCCATCAGAATTCACAAACTCCAAACCTCCTTTCTCACATTCAGGGTCCATGATGCCTTTTTCCACCATGTTCTCATGGTGACATCCGCTGCGTGTAACGGCGCCGTCAACCTCATGGCGGTCGAGGGGTTGGGTTGAAGTCGCCACGGGCAGCGTCTCGACCTCTGAGCCACGGGATCGGCGGCCGGGCTCGGAACCGACATTGAAAACCAGACGAAGAAGGCTAAGGAGAGACTAAGAGAAGCCGAATGATAATTCGGCTTATCCTAAGCATCGTATCCTCCTAAGCATCGGTAAGAAGGAGTCGAAGAAGCACCAGACGAAGGCCAACGGGGTCAAACATCCGAAATAAGTAGTTCTTTGTAGTGTTTTAAGCTGAGTCTGAGTCGATTCGGAGTCGATGAGTCGATGTTCCACATTGTTGGATGGGTCGATGAGTCGATTCAACCCCGACCTTTCCTGGATCGCCCACTCAGCGACTGTTCCACCGAACACCGAACAACCCCTTCTGAGGACAACGAAGGTTCCGCTCCCAAACTGTCGGTGACCACACACGTCTGAGTGACCACCAAGGAGTGAAACATCTGGTGGAATACTGCCAGGTACAGGCCGGCCTACCCTCACCTCAATTGATGGTAAGGACAGCATATGTTCATCATATGTTTGTCAATAGCATCCATTAACAAAAATAGGATGAAATTGTACCATTTTTTCCTGTGCTAGATTTTAATGTCTTCACTGTATTTCTTGGTTGCCACTATTCTCTCTTTCTAATCCTAAGAGCACCTGATAAGAATCCTTTTGTCAGTGGGATCCCTTAAGATTCAAGAACCCGTTATCCTTGGCGAGCCACAAATCATGGGTTCCCCGATGGGGCACAGTGGCTTGCCTGGGATTGCTTGGAGGAGTACCCCTCCTAAGTTTCCCACTTGGTTCCGGTCACTCCATCGCGCCTTGAGCTTGGCAGCTTTGGCCTTCCAGCGTTGTTCACCTTACAAACACACAGCCGTGGAGTTTTAGAAAAAGATCTATATAAAAAGAAGACGTAGATTTGGATATGCATGTAACAAATGTTGAGAGTTGAGACATGCACGGGCATAGGTATGCATTGTATGCTTCGTTCGGGACCTACCAGAAGTTTTAGTCTTGGAGTACTGATGTAGATGCAGCAAGATATGCTAGACATATAGAAATGCTTCTGTATGGATCTTTGATAACATGTTGTTGGAAGGCGAAGTAAAGATGGGCACTGCAAGCACCCGACAACCGGAGTTTGGAGAAGCTTCCTTCCAGACCCCTTGGATGCCACCTGGGCATCGGATAGGAAGCATCACTCCATCCACAGGGATCGTCCACGTCCAAAGAAAGACAGCAAGTTCTTAATTTGTTACAGTAGTCTGAACAAAGTGCGCCGACTCGCTGACAGGCTGCCTGGATGGATTGATCAGCAGTTTGACAAAGCGGACCATGAAAAGGGAGCCACGGTTGGAAGGGGAACCGCGGAAAGCCCCAGTCAATCCGGATAGACTGTGAAACCAATTCTATCCGTTTGAGGACCACGCAATTCTCCAACCCACGCGACCGCGACTAGGCTTCATTGAAACCAGGAGACGCTTCACGGCCTCCTCGAGCTCCATGTGAAGCCTCTCAAGGAAATGAGACGGGCTGAAGTCATCAACTTGAGGCTATACAAGCTCGAAGTTGGGTTTAAGGTTGACTGTAGTGCAAGGTCTTAAGGCTTTAAGGTCTCAGGCAGTGTTCAACCGCGCCAACAGGTCCTCCCTCACCTCAAGAAAGGAGGGTCTGGAAGGGGCGAAACCTTGCGCGAAACTTCTAGCAATTTCCAACTGATGATCAACCAAGGTGATTGGGGATTTATCACAGGGGTGCCCCATGGTCATGCCCCGATCAACCAAAGGGGTGAATTGGGGATCCCTGGATCCCGTCGTTGGACTACGATCCCCTCAAGAGACCCAGGGATCCAGGCTTTGTTTCTTTTGCCTGGATTATAAAGGTTTTTGCTGCCCTCCCCAAAACGGCTTTTTGAGGTTCATGTTGTATTCAGTCTATCTGTACAGACAAATATTGACTTTAGAGAGAGAGAGAGAGAATAACAGAAGGCACGAAACCGTTTCACCATCTTTCCCTCTGCCCGGCCTTTCGATGAGGTCTTTCAAGGCCTGGTTCTCTCGATGGAGCTCCCACGCATCTGCAGGCGCCTCCGTTTGTTTGTCGCATCGGTGCGGTGGGTGTTCGAAAGTCAGCGCTTTCCCCCGGCGATCAAAAGGAGATCCAATGAGATCCAACGATGCGGTATTTGTTTGCGTAGGACACAGAATTTGGAGGCATCCAATTCACACCGAAAACGAAACTAAAAAGATCTAAAAAGGCCGGAAGGGGATGTTCGCACCGGAAAAAAAAAGAGAGCTTTGCTCTTCCAAAAGGCCAGTGGGGTGACTCACAAAACATCCGCCGACGCCGAGTGAGGTTTTTGGATCAAGAAGGCCCCCACGACATTTTGGAGGGGAGATGGCAAATGGAGCATGCATGCACTTCTTCTGTCATACACAAGATGGCTGCCACGCACGCGCTGGGCGATGGGCGGAGCCCTTGCGTCCTACAAATCCTACAGGCCTGGCCTTTTCAGAAAGGCTATTAGCTCACATCCCTCCTCCAATCCCGCCACTCCCCCGCTCACGCCTCGACGCGCAGCGTGGGCTCGGAGGAGCGGCCTAAGGGGCGAGCGGCGAGTACGGCGCGCCATAGGGACGAGCGCCGTCAACGGCGAACGGGAGGCGAAAGAACGACCATCGGTGGATGGTTCTTGGAACGTGGTTGGTTCTTGGAACGTGGATTGTTAAAGAAGCTAACCATGTCGAGATGTCAAGATGTTGGTCCACCTCCCTCTACATCTTGTGTTTGATACTGCATGGCTCGGTCTGGGATCGGTGGCAAAACCAGAGCAGATCGATCCCCGTTCTGCCTGGGATCGGGGTGTCAACCTAAAGATCCATGGTTGTTTCGCGGTTCTGTCTTCATGAATTCGCAGGAGAAAAACCGATGGTCCTCGGACCCAACAAGAACAGAAGAAAGCAGAAGACAACCTGATCTGCCAAGAGTTTCATGAAGTTGAGTATTTTGGCTCGACACATCCACCAGCACCTTCAAAGGGGTCCCGGGGTCACCTGGTTTCGCCCCAGCCCACTACTAAGGGACCTCCAGACAGGACACCCCTTGAAGGTCCAGGCAGTTTCATGAAAGTTCTGTTTCCTTCTTGCACCCTAAGATTTTCGTGTCACTGTACCTAGGCAACTGTAGGCAACTGTAGGCAACCGTCGCATCGGTCGCACCGTTCTCCGTCCCTTTTTTGGGCTCAAAAAGATCTTCCTCGGCACAGTACGAGTGCAGAGCGAAAGCTTCGGTTTCGGAACAGATGAACTCTGAAACCACAGATAAGTTGAAGCTTACCTTCGGTTTCAACAGATGAGTTGAAAATAATTTTAAGTTGATAAGGTTGAGTTTCAACTCATCTGTTCACAAACCCAGTACGTCCGTAGGCCACAGGAACAGAATGGAGAAGAGGCTTCTTGAGCCAAGTCACCCAAGTAGAAACCACAGATCCGGCCGTCACCTTAACCACGATGCAAATAGCCCACACATAAATCACATACACAACCTTGAACCGGTTTGGAGCCCCACTGGCGCGCAAGCTGCCTGGACACGATCGTGGCACAGGGTTTCCCGCCCAGGGACGAGCCTCAACCAGCCATAGCCATTGGCCTATGATGCCTATGATGCCTATGATGTTTGACGTGTAGTTGCTTGTTTTTTAGGGCGTCAAAACCCTAACCCTCAAAAAAGACCGTAGAAACCTTAGGATTTGGTCACTCTACTGAGGTTGGACACTGTCCCTGTCTCGAATCAGGGACGCGATCTCCCGTCCATGACCGCATGGTAGACACCACAAACCAAAGTGTTTTACCGGGACCTCCCTTTATTCCCTATTTCCTGATTACACTACAACACCTCATGCCTAAAGATGTGGTCGCCCAGCTGACTATAGGGTTGAAATGACTGAAGCCCCGCATCTGGGCCCCCAGCACTGGGCCCCAGCGCTGCCGGAAAGTCCACAATCAAACCATAGGCCACGAAGTGCCCCCCCTTCCAAAATCATCTGTTGATCTCTTTTCATCTCACAACCACTGGGAGCTCTCAAACCCGATTCATGTCATCCACGAGCGTCCCCCAGAAATTCTTCCCCTCACCGTGGAACTGGAGCTGCAACAACGAATATTCTCCATCAACGTGGTGTGGAACTATTCGTGCCGTTGTCGGCTCACAACTGGGCCCACCTGGAGTGCGTTCCTCTCGTGGCGCTGGCATTGCAGGTATCGAAGGAGCCTGGAGAAGGCGGGCCTGGGTGTCTTGCTATTCGACAGGATTTGGGTCATTTCGCCTTTCAAAGAGATGGGTTTCAGGATGAAATGCAGAATGGCCAAGTGTTATCTGTCCGATCACGTGCCCCAAAAAAAAACCATGTCCGATGTCTAGGACCTTCCGCATGTGACGGCTGAGCGCCACCCAAAGGAGCCACCCTTTTCTTCCAAACCCACTGCAGCTCCAGTCCTTGAAAGAGCAACTCCCTTCACCCCGTCCCAACGTGACCCGTCGAGTCGGCGGCACTCGCTGCACGCGGGTGGGTCGGTCGCCTGCGGAGCCTGACTCAGCAAGGAGTCATAAGCACCTTTGACCTGACGAAGCGGTGAAAATGATGCAGATGAATTTCGGGAAGAAGGAGTAGGTGCAAAGAGGAACAGTATAGGTTTATTGGGAAGGAGAAATGGGTAAGGGTAGGAGATGTGAAATACCAGGAGTTCCATTTCCATGTCGGGGCGCTATACCGTTAAACAGGTCCTTGTATACTGGATGCCCAAGTAAAAAAGAAATAGTTCGAGAAGTGTGAACAGATTTCGATCTTTCCCAAAACCTCATCAGGCCAGTCTTGTTGCCCTGCTTGGCCCCTCCTTGCCAGGGCCGCCCGACATTTCCTAGACGTGGAATCCGTCCGTTGCGGCTGGGCCTGTAGTGACTTTGAGGTGACTTTGGTGGTTTGCAAACATCCTATATATCTTGAATCCTCAAACTGCAAGCTCAGGTGCCCAAACATAATTGCATCAGTAGGGTTCGGTAGACTTTGGTAGGCTTGCTTGCCAGACTGGTGCGATTCGTCGGATGACAGAATGGATCCAAAGGTATCTTCAAAACCTGTCCTCATTCCCGAGCTTTGTTGCACCAGTCAGAGAAGTGATCGAAAAAAGAAACAGCCTTCTACCCGGAAGCCAACCCCCAAACAACCACAAGGCCGACTCCTCACGCACTTCAACCTTCGCCCCACGGGCCCGCGGGCCCCACCGGACCCGGAGAAACCGACCTCCGCCAACCCCAGGCCTTGCGGAGCAAGGGCCCAAAGACTCGGTCGCGTTCGATGACCTACGGACGACGACCCCGGAGCTCGGTCCGACCGAGGTGTTGGGGGGGCGGGGGCGCGGGCGGCGCGGGTGAGCGGACCTGAGCAGGAGGGCGAAGTTGGGGGGGAGCCGGTTGGTTGCAGTAAGAGCCGGTCCGGGCGGTCCAATACGCAGGGTTTGTGCAAGGCTCGAGCCTCGGTGGAGGGCGAGAAGGCGGATCACTTGGCGAAATGGTCCTGCTGGAACATGCGTAAGGTAGTGGAGATATGTTTGAGATACGGACAGCTGAATCTGAACTGCTGCCCTTTTCAAGAACACAAAGAAAATTGTGTTCAATGTCTTTCACAACAACACTCTCGGACTAGGCTTCCCCGATTTGGGCGTGGCCACACAGTCCATCCCTGCCACAGGGCACCTCCTCAAAAAGATCGCTGTAAATCTTCAACTGCGACTCCCCCTCCTCAGTCGGAGCACCTGGCAAGGTGTTGTTTTTCCGTGTTCGCTAAGGCGGCTGGAAACCAAATCACACCCCTGCAGAGCAAAAACTTTGAGGGCAAGATGTGGAGAAAACGTTGGAAAAGTCGGTCGCACCCCCCCGCAACTTGGGGAATCGAAAAAAAAAAAAAAAAAAACAAAACCTTTCCCACCACACCGTCACCACTCCGGAAGAGGCATTTCTATTCAGGATCCTTTCAAGAGATGTAAGACATGCAACTGAATGGTATCAAGAGTTCTGCATGAAAGGACGACAAATCTGCGTGTGATCCACCACTTGTGCCAGGGAGGTCGTTGTACGGGTGAGAAATGGAACAGTCCAAACTTGTCACTTGAAATGACCTGCTTGTCTTGGTCGCTCACCGTGGGGCATGGTCACTCACATGTGGCTGTAGACGGTTGATTGATCAAACCCCGGAAACCCAGAGTCAGAATGGTCTTACATCTCCATATGAAGGGTCGTCATCCACAGTCCACATTAGCGGTATGTGTCAGATTTTGTTTCTCCAATGGTTCTCTCTCAGGTGAAACGTAATGACGAGCTGTTATGTCCGTGCCTCCCGGCACTTGTCACCGTCACAACTCCCAATGAGTGGGTCTGATGATCCGCTGGGTGTGACGAAAAGGCCTCTAGACAGGCCTCAACCAATTGGTCGAAGTAGCTTTAAAAATGTCAAAGTGGTCCTAATTAGACTCAGAGCCAAAAAATGAATTTATCTTGCGTGCACTCGCCGCGCTTGAACTCCAGCTCCTGGAAAAGTTCGGCAATTGAGAGGAGGACAAAAAATGTATCTAGTTAAAAAGAAGCGCACCCAGCATTAAGATCTGAGGAGTTTCGTTCAAGTCGAGTTTCCAACTCTCGCCAGCTATTCCAGAGACTCCTGAACTTTCTTTTGGATCGTGGCAGTGCTGCCATGGGCCCACAAAAGACTGATGTTTGAGTCCACCTTCGGCTCCTGCCAACTGAGGTTTTGCTGGTGAAAGGTAGTTAAGGTCTTTCATATTGGTCAATAAAACGATCCATGGTCTGCATATGCACATGAAAAGGTGGGTCATGTGAACGGCGAACTGTGGGGATTCTTCATCAGGCAGAAAAGGAATATTGGGCATCAAACAATGTCCGTGGCTGTAATCTGCAGTGCAAACAATCACACACAAGCGAGTTGGCATTGGCACATTTCTGTTGGCTGTCCTCGTCTCTCTCTAACTTCATCCCCTGCTTTGCCTCTTGACGCTGGCGGTAGTAGAACATTTTTTTATCCTTCTCTGTGCAGATGTGGCAAAATCTGCATTTGTTTCCAAAATGGCATCCTCCACCTGGACGTTGCCAAAACCGGCAGGGTGTGCATGCACCTTGCTCATGAAGCTCAGCTTGCGCATTTGATGCCATTTGGCACCCCACAAAACAAGAAGTTCTTTAAAAAGGGGAGGTCGCGAGACAACAAGTCTGATTGTTGGTCACGCTTGATCCGCTGAAGGAGGCGAATCATGCGCGGTCAAGCCGTTGCAAACAAGAAAAGCAGTCCAAGCACTTGCATCACGGTCCTTTTTACGGACTTGCATGTTGCTTGAGTTCGCTAGTCACGTGTGCGTGTGTATTAAATATATATATATTTATTATATAATATATATATATGTCAAACCCCGTGGCTTTACGCGCAGGGTGTCCAGGCAATTGCCCCTGGACCAACGAAGACGGACTCACAACTGGTGAAGCGAGAAGGGGCCCTTCGGCCGTGTACCTGCCTGCGGCCGAGGTGCCATGCAGGATCACAGCCAACAAAGAATGCACGGAGCAGTAACCAATCCGGGTGATATGTGAAGGGACCGAAGGGAAGCAAGCTCCTAATTTGGGGGGATTTCCCGAGTTACCGCCGAGAGTGATACGGAGAAGCAGGAGCCAGTGTCGGCACAGGATTGACAGAAGTGACAGAGCCACAGAAACCACTGAACCTGCCCATTTATTTCCTCCTGCAATGAAGTAAAACATATGTTTTGCACTGAGAACGTCAAAGGAAAAGGAGACGAGCCATGGGACCCAAGGTCCTTTCGTCTTCTCTGAGGATAGGCATTCTGCTTGGGTCACAAAAAACAAATCCCGAGCAAAACCCACAGTCATACGACGTTGGCACTTTGCAAGCCGGTCAAGGGCATGGAGCCTCTGATTTCGAAGGTCAGCCCCAAAAACCAAACTGAAGCGAGGATAATGTTGCTTGATATCCTCAAGATGTTGTTGAGTTGGCTCAAAAAGGCCTGAATAAAAACATGTTCGGGCTGCGCAACAACTACTTATTGAGACTGACAAGTTCAGGGATTGCAACAAGCAATTTGTTTCCCGTGCAAAGGGATCCGGGAGGAACAGTTGCACTTGTAGGAACTTGGAAAAATGAGGAAACACCGCGCCGTCTTCGAAGGCATTATGATTGTGGTTTGGCAATACTGCCGAGAAACGTTGGCGCAAAGTCGCGAGTGTGTGAACTTGACTAGCTATCGCTGCCTTTAGGGCGTGCTCCGGTGGAGGTGATGTGACTCCCAAAATCTTTGGCACAACATTTTCTCACCTGTCAGCCTCAGAGTTTCCATGAGTCCAGTGAAGGGAGCTGTACCTGCGGTCTCCAGATTTGCATTTTGATGATGTAAGCCGTAAGCTATACTGTTGCTGATTTTTCCAGGTTGTGCACTGTATCAACGTGTGGAACATCTCTTGCCGGAGGAATCCGCCGGTGGAAAGCACTTGGTGAAGTGGTGACCCTAGTCCCTTTCCCTGGGCAGTTGGTGTCTGAGAGGCGACCCGTCGGTGGTTTTTCCAACAGCACTTTGACCTGGGTGGCATTTGGCGAAACCTGGCAGTAGGCATCTTAGCAGGGTCACTGGGTGCACTCTGAACATGCTTGAGCTTAAAAATTGCCCCTCCCAACCGTCTCCCCCTTTCATCCATCTCTTTTGCTCATCGCGGCGAGGCTCCCAGCCACGTCGAGGGGCCTGTTTCGACCGTACGGACAGCAGGGGCGTTGCCCCACCACTCACGGGGAGGCGCTGAGGAGCGTTCCGGGCGGTCCAGAACCGTGGTGGACACCCTCCCCACGCGACGGTGCGAGCGCGAGCGCGAGCGCCGGGTTCCCCACAAAGCAGGCTCGTAGTCCTCGGAGAGTCACGGAAAGCCGTCGTTTTGGGACGAAAACCCAAGAGCAAAAGAAGAAAGGTCTGCATTCATGGTGTGCAACGGCCAGGGAAAACATCCCAACCGCAAATATCTAAACATCATCTAAGTCTCGTAGACAGGTGGAAGGCCATGCGGAGGCACATGATGTGGTATCCCATGCGGCGGTACATGCATGAGGCCTGGACTACCCATTGGTGGACCGTGCGCTGAGCCGACTGGTGGTGGAGCCCAGTAGATGGGATGCGGCAGCACAGGCGCATGTGCTACTGCGGGATACGTGACGGAGGCCAGCGGATGCGGCGCGGCATGCGGCGCAGCATGCGGCGCGGCATGCGGCGCAGCATGCGGCGAGGCACGCGGCGGGCGGCGCTTGGGGTTGCTGGTCTCCTGAGTGGTGAAATTCCGAAACCATCCAACACATCCTGTCTCTGCTTGAACCCAAGCCTTTCAGAACAAGAGTGCCAACGACACATCAGCTCACCGTCTCACCTTTCAAAGGAGTTCTACACTTCCACAGTTCATGAACAAGTTCTGCTGCGAACAAGAAAGAACAGTAGCCTCCGTGCTTGCTTCGGAAACAGTAGATCCAACACCCCAAGTGAACCAATTCCTTTTTTCGTTGTTTGGCATCTCTCGGCACTGGAGTTTTACTGCGGCAGCCCCTGGATGGCTGGGGCAGCTGGATGGTCCTTGCTGTCGTCGATGTACCCCTCCGGGTTTTGCTCGTACACTTGGGCATCCTGGACGTTCGGCTCGTCTCGTCAAACCCCGTCGACTCCCGGGGACCCAGGAATCCACCCCCCCCCTTTCACTCGACTCGTCGGGAATCAGCGGGCGACGGTTCCGTATGATCAAAGGCTGGTGGCGTCAGACACGGCGAGGTCCAGGGTTAGGGCTGGTGGGAGAGAAGTAAGAACCCCTACTAGACCATCTGGGAAAAAACACATCTAGCGCTGGCTGAGGTAGCTGGAAGTTCCGTTTGCAATGGGATTCCGAGTGTTCTGATTCGAGTTGTGCACCTCTTTACACCTCTTTGCGTTGGTGAGTGCCTCGAACCTTGTTGATCACTTCCCTCGATCAGACCGCAGCCCAGGCACCACTAGCTCACACAGCTGTCTTCCCACATCATTGGGCAACTCCTGGAAGCATTATCAACGTTCAGGCCATGCGTAACACTTAATACTTAACTTAAGACTCTTGGACTCCTTGCTTGGAAAGCACTGAAAGAAGCACTATCCCCAACCAATCATTCCTCGCGAACGCAAAAAGGTCCAAGCAAATGAGAGGACGTGGCTGACCCCCCCCCACTATAGATAAATCATGGGGGTCGCCAGCCTAGGACCGTTTTCTCTCGCCACCCTCGTTCCTTGTGTCCCATCGTCCCATTGAGTCGGGAAATCACTCATGGAGTGCTTGCCAGTTTGCTCACCACGGCCGCAGACTTCTGTGACCATCGATTGCCCAAGTTTTTCGGCGTGGTCGAAGTGGCCATCGTGATCATCCTACTTCGGTCCCAGAAAAAACTGAACAAATGGTGCTTGGAAGTGATTTTTCGCTGGGATGCCTGGAACAAAACCATGAGAGGGCCTACATGTGGACGGGTGAGTGAAGTTAGAGAAGGTGTGGTGTGTGTGATGTTTGTTTTGATGTCACGGACTGCTGCTAAATTTGTTGATGTGTGCTCTGAATTTCACCAGAATACACACGGTTCCCTGGAGATGGTTCCAACACACTTCCCGATGGTTCGATGTCACAGATTCCCAATCCTCGCTGTTTTCCAAGAGCGAAGATGAGCCCGTACCACACCAAGTCATGA